AAAAAAAAAAAACAAAAAGGAAAAAACCACAAATAATGAAATAAAAAGCAAGAGAGAAAAAGTTTTGACTCTGAGCCATACACTCTCTGGTGAACTTTCTTTCTTTCTTTTTTTTAACCTGGCCCTGCCTCAGTTCCCCAGCTGTATTTCAGCTATATTTATATACAAATATATTCTCTGTGTGTGTGTGTGTGTATTTTATAATTGTGTTTGGGATAAAGATGGTGAAATAGCACAGGGTGGCAAGGAAGGGGCATCTTCAGGTCAGAGTGTGACTGCTCTGTGTCTGCGTACCTGGCATAGGCACCAACGAGTGTTTGGACAACAATGGAGGCTGCTCCCATATCTGCAATGACCTCAAGATTGGTTACAAGTGTCTGTGTCCTGACGGCTTCCAGTTGGTGGACCAGCGAAGATGTGAAGGTGATTCCTGAGCAGGGCCAAACCCCGGGTCCCCTGTACCCTCCCTGACATGATGAAACTCTGGATGCCTCAGTTTCCTCATCTGCTAAGTGGGCATGAAAGCAATCTCCACTCTACAGGAGGGATGTGTGAGGCACCATAGGCATAAACATTTAGCCCAGGCCTGATCTCCAAAGAGCACCTGGTTTCTTAGAGATTTTTGCCTTTGGGGATTAATAATTAAGAAATTTCAGGCTGGGCACGGTGGCTCACCCCTGAGATCTTTGCACACTGGGAAGATGGGGTGGGAGGATTACTTGAGCTCAGGAGCTCAGGAGTTTGAGACCAGCCTAAGCAAGAGCCAGACCCTGTCTGTACTAAAAAGGGGAAAAAATTAGTCAGGGGTCATAGCAGGACCTTTAGTCCTAGCTACTCAGGAGGCTGAGACAGGAGGATCACTTGAACCCAGGAGTATGAAGCTGCTATGAGCTAGGCTGATGCCACAGTACTCTAGCCTGGGGCAACAGAGTGAGGTTCTTTCTTGAAGAAGAAAACAACAACACATAAAGAAATCTCGGCTAATGGGACTTGACTCTCTTAGCTCTATGATGAGGTTGGAGTCTTTGATGAGGACAACATTTGGCCATTTCCTTGATGTTCCTCAGAGGGGATGGGCCATGTCCTGCGTCTTTTGTGAGTTGTGTGTCTTAGTCTGGGTCCCATAGCTCTGTCTGCAGCTTTTGCCAATGATCACCCAAAACCTTTCTCTGTCTCCCAGATATCGACGAATGTCAGGACCCTGACACCTGCAGCCAGATCTGTGTGAACCTGGAAGGCAGCTATAAGTGCGAGTGTGAAGATGGCTTTCAGCTGGACCCCCACACCAAGGCCTGCAAAGCAGTGGGTGAGTGTGGGAGGTGACCAGAGTAGGTGGCCTCAACCCTCACAAGCCAGCGAGGTAGGAAATTTCATCATCTGAACTTTGTACAAACTCCGGTCCCCTGACCAAGAGGCTATTTACTCCTGAGATCTCTGGCAGGTGAACGTGCAGCCTGGGCAAGACTTGGATTTGTGAGGGGACTGCCCACATGTGTCCTATTCCTTAGGAGTTACTGACCCTGCAAAAGGGGGCAGGAAGCAGCCTTCCTGTCTAGGACAACCTAGGGAGTGACTTCATAAGGCAAAAGGTGGAAGCTCAAGCTGTCCACAGCCCCTCATGCTGAGACATATACCCAGAAAAGCAAATTCATTTAAAACAGAGACCAAAATATAACAAAAACATAGCATGAAACAAAATTATATTAGTAGTTGAATTTCTTTTTATTTTTTTGTAGAGATAGAGTCTCACTTTATCACCTTTGGTAGAGTGCCAAGGCGTAACTGCTCATAGCAATCTCCAGCTCCTGGGCTCCAGCGATTCTTCTGCCTCAGCCTCCCAAGTAGCTGGGACTATAGGCGCCCGCCACAATACCCGACTATTTTTTTGTTGCAGTTCAGCTGGGGCTGGGTTTAAATCCACCGCCCTCAGTATATGGGGCTGGCGCCCCACCCACTGAGACACAGGCGCTGCCCAGTAGTTGAATTTCTTTTCTATCATGAAGGTTAAGTTGTAACTGCAGCCCTGCACTAATTCTTAGAATTTTCCACGTCAAAGAATTCTGTATTTCCAGAGGTGTGACTGCCCCAGGGGAGTTGTCTGAACATACCAATGTCCTTAGTGTGTTGTCCCAGTGAGTCCATTTTGCAAAAATATTTTAGAGTCATCCTGTTTCTCAGGGGTCTTTGTTGCATTTTATTTGTTTGTTTGTTTATTTATTTATTTGAGACAGAGTCTCACTTTCTTTCCCCCGGTAGAGTTGCTGTGGTGTCATATAGCAACCTCAAACTCTTGGGCTCAAGTGATTCTCTTGCCTCAGCCTCCCAAGTAGCTGGGACTACAGGCGCCCACTACAACACCTGGCTATTTTTTAGCTGGTCTTGCTCTTGCTCGGGCTGGTTTCAAACTCTTGAGCTCAGGCAATCACCCCCGCCCCCTCATCTCAGCTTCCCAGGTGCAGGGACTACAGGCCTGAGCCGCTGCTCCCAGCCTTAATTTTTCTATTTTTTTTTAGACAGAGCTTTATGTTGTCACCCTGGGTAGAGTGCTATGGCATCACAGCTCACAGCAACCTCCAACTCTTGGGCTTAAGTGATTCTCTTGCCTTAGCCTCCCAAGTAGTTGGGACTACAGACGCCCACCACAACACCCAGATATTTTTTGGTTGTAGTTGTCATTGTTGTTTGGCAGGCCCAGGCTGGATTTGAACCCACCAGCTTTAGAGCCTTAGCTCTTAAGCTCCAAGCGCTGAGCGAATTTTTCTTTTCTTTTTTTTTTTGCCAGGGCTGGGTTTGAACCCACCACCTCTGGCATATGGGGCCAGCACCCTACTCCTTGAGCCACAGGTGCCACCCAATTTTTCTATTTTTTTAAGTGGAGATGGGGTCTCGTTCTTGGTCAGGCTGGTCTCAAACTCCTGAACTCAAGTAATCCTCCTGCCTTGGCCTCTCAAAATGCTAGGATTGCAGGTATGAGTCACTGCACCTAGCTCTTTTGACATTTTAAGTCTTGTCCTCTGAGGTAATCCCTTTTGATAGCTCTCTGGCCTCCCTCTGTTTAGCCTCATGTATATTTTGGTCTCTCCTGGGTGGAGTATGTATGTGGTGCCTTAAGTAAATTCATGAAATACTCTAGGATTGGCTCGGCGCCTGTGGCTCAAGCGGCTAAGGTGCCAGCCACATACACCTAAGGTGGCGGGTTCGAATCCCCAGCCCGGGCCCGCCAAACAACAATGACAGCTGCAACCAAAAAATGGCCGGGCGTTGTGGTGGGCGCCTGTAGTCCCAGCTACTTGGGAGGCGGAGGCAGGAGACTCGCTTGAGCCCAGGAATTGGAGGTTGCTGTGAGTGTGATGCCATGGCATTCTACCCAGGGGGAATAGCTTGAGGCTCCGTCTCAAAAAAAAAGAAAAGAAAGAAAGAAAGAAATACTCTAGGATTTGAGATTTCACTTTTGAACCCATTTCATAAATATTGGGGTTTATAAAAGTGCCATTCCCACAGGAGATGAGGTCTAATCAGAGAAGTATTGGCTAAATGTTGGTTTTATGGTGAGAGCACAGCCCTGGAGTTGGAGAGACCTGGTTTCAGATCCCACCTCTGCCTCTCACTTGATGTGTGATATTGGGCCAGTCCCCCACTGAGCCTCACTTCCTTCTTCTCTGGAGGTGGGTTGACTATAGGCTCGTGAGAATCATTTTAGGAGGCTCTAAGGACCTGGAGCTATCCCTAGTTGTCTGGTTTCTGGCCCTGGGATAATTAGGACAGAAAGATAATGGCATCAGCATGTCCCCAGATGACAAAGCATCTGAAACACACGGGTAATCCTGCACTGATGTGTGGGTTCAGCCACCACCCCTGCAGCAGGCTGCATACTTGGCTCCACTCACTGCCCTTCTGTGTCCCTAGGTTCCATTGCCTACCTCTTCTTCACCAATCGTCATGAGGTAAGGAAGATGACCCTAGACAGGAGTGAGTACACCAGCCTCATCCCCAACCTGAAGAACGTGGTTGCTCTGGACACAGAGGTGGCCAGCAACAGAATCTACTGGTCTGACCTGTCCCAGAGAAAGATTTACAGGTGAGTGTCATCCCTGCACGTGGCCCTGGCACCCTCGTGAGACAAGGGCTCTCAGCCCTGACTCTCACTCTTCCCTCCTTGTGCTTCAGCACCCAGATTGATGGAGCCCACGGCTTCTCCTCCTATGATACCGTCATTAGTGGAGACCTCCAGGCCCCCGATGGGCTGGCTGTGGACTGGGTCCATGGGAACATCTACTGGACCGACTCTGTTTTGGGCACTGTCTCTGTGGCTGATACAAAGGGTATGAAGAGGAAAACACTATTTAAGGAGAAAGGATCCAAGCCAAGGGCCATCGTGGTGGATCCTGTTCATGGGTATGTTTGTATAATGCTGAAGGTTTTAGAAGCAATGGACTCAGGTTCCTCAGCAATTAGTTATTAAAAAGAAAAGAGCTGGTTCAGCGCCTGTGGCTCAAGCGGCTAAGATGCCAGCCACATATACCTGAGCTGGGGGCGGGGGGGGGGGGTTTGACTACAGCCCGGGCCCGCCAAAAAACAATGATGGCTGCAAAAACAACAAAAAACCCAGCCGGGCATTGTCCCAGCTACTTGGGAGGTGGAGTCAGAGGAATCACTTGAGCCCAGAAGTTGGAGGTTGCTGTGAGCTGTGATGCCACGGCACTCTCCCCAGGGTGACAGCTTGAAGCGCTGTCTCGGCTCGGCGCCTATAGCTCAACCGGC